CTATAGCCCTAGCCCTAAGTGATTCTTACACACATTGGTATCTCAGAAAAATGCATACATGGCCAATGACATCATCTTTTGATTCTACCAATAACCTACAATGTGTGTTATAACAAAATCTGCCTTACAGCTGCACACCTCAGCAGCACCCCCTCACTTCCTGCAGGTCAATGCTAGAGATTTCTCCAGTGCAAAGGGTGACAGTTGATTCAGTCAATGCAGAACAGTCCTGCCTTTGATGTTGTTCAGTTATCAATAGGCTATTTGATGTCCTGTCTATCTACTGGTAAAGCAAACTTTCTTGTGCTTTATACCTTTTAAAGTAAGATCTACTGGAAAAAATATTAATTTACAAAGCACTTTCACTTTCAGTCTAACATACCTTCAGAGCAAACCACAGGAAAAAAGCAAAGCTCAGCGAATTGCCCAAAATTGCACACCTAATAAGTAATGAAGCCAAGACTTACATCCACATCTGGCCTTAAGTTCAGGGCACCTTCCTGAATAATTGTAGTGTTTAAAAGCACAGTCTGGAGGCACAGAGAGGGCTTTGACCCTGCCAGAGTGAACTTGGGTAAATTACTTACTCTCCAATCCCATGTGCAGACAAGGGAATATAATGAAAACTAACATACTGGTTTTAATAAAGTGACAATACCAGAACACGTGCAAAGTGCTCAGCAAGCTGCCTGGCATCAGGCTCCCTTCATGTTCACTATCATTTGCAGTGCCAAAAGGATGAACGTCTTCCGACATGAGGAGGATGCCAAGGGAAAGGCTGATATAAGAGAATTTCCAAAGGTCACCCAGGCCTGGGTGATGCACTCACCATCTGAGATGGATAGAAATAAGTGACAGAAGATGAAGAGCATGAGACTCGGAGGGTAGTGCTACCATTGATGGTGGAGACTTGGAGATGAGCAAGTGGAATGAATGGGAGGTGTCCTAAGCATAGGGAATAATGGCGGCTGAGAACCAAGCTCAAAAGGAGGCAATTATTCACCATAGAGATTGTCATTCCCAGAGAGGGAGTCATTAATGTTTCTACCTCTCATTTTAGGGTCACTGGGGGAGAAGGACATGAGGCTGAAGGACTGGACTTTGGTATTAGTTCCCACTTAGAGTGCAACAGGAAGCAGACAGGTATGTGATGACCAAGTAAGTGAGCCGGGAACAAAATGCATTTCCCAGAAACAAGTGGGGAGACTTGAAGAAGACTGATTGGGAATGGTTTGAGTGTGTCCCCCAAGAATTCATGTGTGGGAAGCTTGGTGCCCAGTGTGGCCATACTAAGAGGTGGTTGGACCTTTAAGAGGTGGGACTTAGTGGAAGTTGGATAGGTCATTGGGGAACATTGCCCTTAGAAGGGATTAAGGGCAATTAACTCATGAGATCCTGAGTTAGTTCTCACAACAGTGGGTTATTACAGAAGAGCAGGCCTTGACTCCTTCTCTGGCTTCCTGTCTTACCATGTGATCTCTCCCTCTTGCATATGCTCCCACCATGATGCCATCTGCCATTAGGCCCTCACCAGAGGCCAAATTAATGGGATACCTGATCTTTCAGCCTCCAAAATGCTGAACTAAATAAATCTTTTTAAAATTTCTTCTATTGATATGTAAATATAAGGGGCAAACCTTTCTTTAGATAAACTATCCAGCTTCAGGTTATCTCATTATGACAATGGAAACAGATTATAATACAGGGGAACCCCATTAACTCAGACTCACTGGTCAATGAGAATGAAGTAGTCATGGGTTTCACAGAATGAAGGTTGTATCATGAAAGTTCTTCCATTTCTATCATTAACTACAGTGGCATACAATAAGAAGCCTAAAGAGGTTGTCATTGTGAAGGAGACAGTATCATACTAACTATGGATAGATAATGCATTGCCAGAGGTATAGGCCAAGTTTAATTGGCAAAATGTGTTGCTAGTTATTAAAAGTTCCCAGAGATGTTGAAGACTGAATAGGCTTCCAATGGGTAGAGAGGAGAGGGCACTCCAGGTAAAGGGGACCATATATGCAGAGGCTGGGGAACGTGACAGCACAACAAATTCCAAGACAGAGGAGTGCCACAAAATACAAAACATGTGGCAGAGCACTGGCCTAGCATAAAAATAAACAAATAAACACCACATAAAAATAAACAAATAAAATAAAGTCATTCTGTCCACCTACAACTACAAAAAAATTTTTTAAAGAAAAATATATACATTTGTGGGGCCATTGAGAATAAAGCTAGAAAAGCAGGTTGAAGCAAGATTAAGAAAGGTCATAGATACCATGCTGAAGAGTTCTTAACTAATTTTTCTTTATAAACTATCCAGCCTCAGGTATCAGGAAACAGTTATTGACAACTTTTGAAAATGAGTAAGACATGGTTAAATCTATGCTTTAGAATATCAGGATGGGGGCTGCAGTTGTGGCTCAGCAGTAGAGTGCTCACCTAGTCTGTTTGGGGCTCTGAGTTCGATCCTCAACACCACATAAAAAATAAATAAAAGTATTGTGTCCAACTACAACTAAAAAATAAACATTTTTTTAAAAAAAAGAATATCAGGATGTAGTGCAGGGGCATCAGGGTAGGTCAAGAGACCTCTATAGCAACCCAGAAAAATGACTGTACAGGTCTGAAGAGGGTGGTGATCTGAGTGAGAGGGAGTAGGGAAAAGGAAATTCCCCTGAGTCAGGGCCTAACAAGGAGTGGTGAAGGGTACATTGAGGGATTTGAGACTGGGCATTGAGATCAGGTAGCACCATCCAGAGACCTAAGAAAGACTGAAGGTGTCTCAGGTGCCAGTGAGAAAGAGAGAGCTCTAGGGAAGGATCAAAGAAGAAAGGGAGGGATCAAAGATGACTAATTCATAGCCTGGGTACCTACATGGCTACTGATGTCATCATCCAAAATAGAGGGATGCACATTTGCTATGAGAAGTGTTTCGGATATGGTAGGATGAAGCTTCTAAAAGCCAAAGTTTTAAAATCAAATTTATCAAGGTGTAATTTACATAAAATAAAATGCACCTATTTGATGTGTATAGTTCAATGAATCTGACAAATGTAAACACCTGTGCAAGCAGCTTCATGGGTATATGAAACCTAAGTATTCACACTAGGTCCTATTTTCAGAAGGGCCTTTTGCTTTGGGTTTAAAGCTGAATTCATGGTGCCAAAGCTTTCTTTGAACTTGGGTTTTATAAATGCAATCTGATGGGACAATGAAGCATTTGGGGGGAGGGGTTTAGAGCCTTAGCTTTTGCTGAGTCTCTTTCTTATCACCCTCCATGACCCCCAATCTTTACCCTATCCCACCCCCACTTCAGGGCAGGGCAGGGCTGCACCCCAGCACATTCAGAGACTGATGAACATCTTCCCTTACATGGTACCAAACACATTCCTGACACACACACTTCAATCCCTTAGGGCTCATCCATCCGTCATGCCCTAGGAAGGGGAGTGTTCCAGTACATAAGGAAACATAACATTAAAGAGCAAATTAAACCAGCGTGATAAGTTGATAGAGAACACAGAAAAAAAGTTTTATAATTAAGTACCTTTAGTAGTGTCCTTTCCTGCTTCCCTCCATTTTTATTTTGCACTGAACCTTGCAAATTATATAGCTAGTCCTGCACCTGTGTATACCACCACCATTAGGATGAAGAATATTTTCATCAAGAAGAATATTTTCTTCTCGGTCCTTTACGGAGTCAACACACCATAGTGGTAAAACCCAACCACAGGTTTCCTTTCAAGACGGCTGAATTTAAAATTTTGCAGCAGGGCTCTGGAACTAGGGAAAGCAGGAATACAAGAATTCTGCTCCCCCTTTTCTCTTGGGGCCTGTACTGGACTCTTAGAAACATTTCCTCCACGTTGTTCTCACTTCTACCCTCAAAGTCCTTATTCTGATTTTCCAAAAGAGGTCACCACGTTTCTCCAAGGTAAGCGCAGAGAGCGTCGGAATTCTCACTCACCCTAGTCGGTMCACTCCCAGGCTGGTACCGCCCACGCCCGAACACCGCCCGCGGCCCGCCCCTTCGCCAAGTCCCAGCCGGGTCTCACAGCCCCAACCCAGACGCCCCAGAACCAAGCAGGTGTCCTGGACGTTCGTGGCCACCGTCGCCATCGTTGGAGGTGATGGCTCAGCCAGYACGGCGCGGTCATCCGGGCAAAGAAAAAGCTCCAGGGCAGGCGAGCGCCAGCGCGCATCCCAGAACAGCCAGGGTGGGCTCCACCGCCGCTCTCCGGGCCCGGGTGCCTTGGCAACAGSTAAACACTGAGCGGCCCCGCCCCGCGGCGCGCGCTGGTGGCGTTGTGCGCGCGAATCCCGCCCCCGAGGGGCGCGAGCCCCGCGCCGGGATCCTGCCGGCTCRGTGTAACGCGTGCGGGTGCCCGGCGTGGCCAAGTAGGCGCCTGGTGTGCTGGCGGCTAGGTGGCTAGCTGTCCCCTGAACACGCTGGGCTGCCCCGAGTCCCCGCGCGCCGCCGGGCGGGTTCCTTCCTGGGAGGCGCCGCCGAGGCCCGAGAGGGCGGCGGTTCGCTGGCGAGTGGGCAGGAGGAGGCGGGGTAGACGAAGAATTTGGGCTGCCTTCTGCTTTTCGGGACTGGGAATCACAMGTCTTACTCACCCGCTCAGCTGAGAAAGAAATGACCATGGTAATACCCGTCTGGTGGAAGTAGGAGTTTCCCAGGCACTCGCTCCTTTGCTTTAAGCCCGCCAGCGTTTGAGAGGAGTGCTTTCGCCGAGATCATCTCCAGTCCCCGTGGGTGGGTGGTGTCTGACCCAGCGGTCTGAACTGGCGATGTGAGATGGTGGGAGAGTGATCCCGGGTGGTCTGAGCCTGCTAAGGGGGACGGCAGCAGCAAAATCAGGCTGAGATCTTCTTCTGTTAAGTGTCTGGTTGCCGTTCCTTGGTTCTGTTGCAAAATTGTCACACCCAGAAGATGGGTTTTTTTTTTTTTTGGGGGGGGGGAAGAGGGAGATCGGCAAAGTTGTATGGAACCCAAGAACGCCAGTACAAGCCAACAGCGACTGGCTCAGGCACTTGGCTGCTGCTTCCGCTCCAGAGTCCCTTGTGGGATGCGTTGTTGACTCAAGTAGAAGGCGAGCCCTGGTCCTACCACCGCACTGCCAGCCGTCACCAGCATTCCTGCTTCTTGGTCCAACTTAACCCTCACTGTTCTTTCTATAACGTCTGTGACCTTATAACCCCCATCCCATGTCATCTGCTTAAGCAAAACAAAACAAAACCCACATCCCACAGTAGACCCACGTGCTTCTGAAAGTCTCCTGAACCAGACTCACCTCAAGCTATTGCTCTTTCAATTTTTTTTTTTTTTATAAGACCCAGCCCAAAGTGCCTCCTTATGTAGCCCTTTGCACCTCACTTAAGGTGCTTTGACTGTTTTGCCTTGGAAAGTCTTACTCCTTATCCCCATTAGATTGTAGTGAAAAAAATGTGTTTGATAAGCCTCTGTGGGTCTTCCAGTTCCTTGAATGAAAGGCACTAGGTAAATATCTCTTGATTTAGGAGAGCCATTCCTGAGTTACCCGCACATGTTTAATACTGCCATTTTCTTTTGGGGCCCAAGGAACTGAAGCAGAATGGTTTACACAGTCATTTAAGCTAATAACTTCCTTTGGCCCTTGGAATCAAGGTCAAACAAATTAGTTGACAGAGCCTTCAACCAAAGCTATGCCCTACCTACCTTTCTAGACTCAGCTGGTCCCCCAGGTTGCCTGTAGACTGGCCACATTAATTGTTTGGTTTTTTGGGCCCTTCAACTCTGCATATTTTCTACTACCTCGGAGCCTTTACCATAGTTATTCCTTTTTACTGTTCATTAGTGCTCCATTGTATGGTTGTACCACAATTTATTTATTCATTTTTCTGCTTATGGACATTTGGGGTGTTTTCCAGATTTTTGCCGTTACAAGTAAAGTCTTTAAATTGAAAATACTTTCATTCTCTTGGATAAATACCTTAGGAAATGGCTGGGTCATATGGTAGGAATGTGTTTAACTTAAAAAGAAACTGCCAAAGTGTTTTCCAAAGTGGTTTTGTCATTTTAGATTTCCCTTGGCTGTGTGTGTGAGTTCCATTTCCTCCGTATCCTCACCAACACTTAGTATGGTCAGTCTTTTTAACTTGGACCATTCTAATAAGCGTCAGTATTATTTTCTGGTTTTAATTGTATGTGTCTACTAACTTAATGATGTTGCATATCCTTTCATGTACCTATTTTCCATTTTTTTTTTTTAGTCTATTCAAATCTTTTGCCTATTTGTATTGGGCATTTGTATTTTCTTACTATTTTCTTACTAATGATCTCCTGGCATCCTATACATAGAACACCTCAATGTAAGTTTTTATAGGTGTCCATTATATAGGTTGCTGATACACGAGTTAATATATTTTTAAWTTTTTTTTAGTTGTAGATGGACACAATATCTTTATTTATTTTTATGTGGTGCTGAGGATCGAACCCAGAGCCTCACACATGTTAGGCAAGCACTCTGCCACTGAGCTACAGCCCCAGCCCTGAATTATCTTATTATATTGTTTTAAATTTAATTTTTTTAAAGAGAGAGGGAGAGGGCTGGGGATGTGGCTCAAGCAGTTGCGCGCTTGCCTGGCATGCGTGCGGCCTGGGTTCGATCCTCAGCACCACATACCAACAAAGATGTTGTGTCCGCCGAGAACTAAAAAATAAATATTAAAAAAAAAATTCTCTCTCTCTCTCTCTCTCTCCTTTCTCACTCTCTCTTAAAAAAAAGAGAGAGAGGGAGAGAGAGAGAATTTTTTAATATTTATTTTTTTTTAGTTCTCGGCGGACACAACATCTTTGTTGGTATGTGGTGCTGAGGATCGAACCCGGGCCACACGCATGCCAGGCAAGCGCGCTACCGCTTGAGCCACATCCCCAGCCCTTAAATTTAATTTTTTGTGAAAATTTATAATTATATACAAAAATAGAATAGTAAAATGAATCCCCATGTATCCATTTCTCATATTCAGAAATTTTAAAGATTTGAGCACATTTACTTCATCTATCCCTTACTGGAGAGTAGGGCAAATCTCAGGTCTTCTTTGATTTCATCCTTGCAGATTTCAGTGTACATCTCTGAGACATGTGTTTTCTTTTGTAACCCAATGCCATTATCAACTCTAACAGAATTCATTATCCTCTGATACTATCAAATTTTTCTTATTTCCTAAAAAAAATGCCTTTTTGCAGCTGTTCAAATCAGAAGACAAACAAGGGTCACACATTGTTTTGGGTCTCTTTTAATAGGGGGTGCTTACTAAATATTTGTCACATTAGCTGGCATATGACATCTCCCATTCCATGAAAATTTTCTGTTGTTTGGATTTTTTTTTCTTAAATTCAACAAGGGAGTGTTGAAAGTCATCTCAAGTTTGTAGACACTAACTGCCGCACTCTATTTGTCCTTGTCTTCAAAAGCCAGGTAAAGGGAAGAAAGGAAAAAGCCACAGAAAGTCTCGCGGGAAGAAGCAGAAGAAGCCCGAGGTGGACATCCTCAGCCCCGCGGCCATGCTGAACCTCTACTACATCGCCCACAACGTGGCCGACTGCCTGCAGCTACGAGGCTTCCGCTGGCCAGGTGCTCCCAAAGGGAAAAAAGGGAAGAACAAGACTTAAGTGATAGAGTTCTCAGCGCTCAGAGAACAACTTGGGGAAGAGAAATGAAATAACACGACCCTGCAGGCAAAATAGACTTTACTGAAGACACCTTGAAATGCAAGCTCAGGGTGCTTTCTATGGTAAATAATGGTGAAGAAATGCCTTTTACTTCCTGAGTTAAGCTAGGCATGGTTAGCCACTTTGGATTTTCAGAAGTTAAGGGGAAAAACTTGAACAATTCTTACACCATGTGATGGGATTGATAGTCCTTTAAAAATCTATTATCATAATTCTGGGCCAGAAATTAAACCTTGCTCTCAAAAGGCAGTTCCAGTTTGCACGAGTTATTTTCTTTTGCTAAAGGGGGTCTGTTATTTAGAGAAGATACAGCAAAAAAAAAAAAAAGCACAGGCTTTACATTATAATCACCCCTTTCTTGGGCACTGTTTCTTTTTTCTTTATTTTTTTTTCAGTGGTGCTAAGAATGAACCCAGAGCCCGACACATGCTAGGCAGGTCCCTACCACTGAGCTACACCCACAGTCCTCCCCTGCACCCCCCCACCCACCTTTTTTTTGAAAATAAATATTTTATTTCTGTAATTTTTTTCTCAGTAGTCTGATTCTGGTTTGAATTAGCCACAGAGCCAAATGGATATTAAGATTGTCACTAGTGCTCTGACCTTACTGGGCATGTAAGCTTGTGATGAAAAGGATCTGACAATGTGTAGTGGGTTGGGTACAGAGAGAAGGAATGAATTGTGGACTCAGGCCTTTCCTCTTTTGTGTCACCTGACTTGTCTCCACTTCTCCTGCACCCTTAGATTTCTTCACACCTTCTGCCACCTTTAAACTTAAATGACCCTGAGTCATGAACTGGTGACTGGAAACTAGCCATTATTATTTGGCTGACTTTCCAAGATCTCCCCAGCCTTGTGAGGAGACTTTAATAGACAAAACTGGCTGAGTACTGTGTTGCATGCCAGAGACTGTGATAGGAGGATTGCAAGTTCAAGGCTAGACTTGGCAACTTAGTGAGACTGTGTCATCATCATCATCATCATCATMATAAATGAAATAATGATGAAGAACTACCTTTACTTTCTCAGGTAAGGTAGGCATGGTTAGCCACTTTGGATTTTCAGAAGTTGGAGGGGGGGAAACCCAAATAATAAAAAATGAAAAGGGCTGTAGCTCTGGTAGAACACTTGCCTGCTATGTGTGGGGCTCTGAGTTCAATCCCATACACACACACACACACACACACACACACACACACACATACACATATACACACACACAAGAAAGAGAAAGAACTGCATTTTTTCTCCTTGCCCCCAAAGGCCTCAGTGCCCTTTTAAGTTTAAATATCATCTCTGAGTCAGCATTTCGTCCCTGCCTCTTGTTCTGCCTTCCTGTCCCAACTCACTGCTTCCTCTGATCCCACCACTCTGAYACCTACATTGGCTCCCTTCACACTTTTAACCTTAAAGCTGATTGAGCACCATTCTAGGGATGTTCTAGTTTGACTGAATTACTTATAGTTATGTTCAGTGTGCCTTGTGGTGATCTCAGAGATTCACAGTGTTTTTAAAGGAAGGCTGCAACCTAGGATTCAGCATTTCACAAATGTTAGAAAAAGGAAATTCATGAATCATTTAACTAGAGAACTGGGGTGCTCATAACCCACKTGAGCTTGTTGGGAGTGCCATTTATATACTGTACTATCTGTACTAATGCAGTGTAAGCTCTTGGCCAGTTGCCAGAGGAGCCTTCCTTTTGGAGAACCTACAGAGARATCTTGTGTTTACTGTGATTGTAGGCTTTAGAAACAAGGCGCACCTTCCTGCCCAGTTAGAGACTGCTAACTCTAGTTCATTGCCTCTTAGTCATCTGGAAGATTTTATCAAAARTACAGATTGCATTCAGGTGTGTTGGTGCATGCCTGTAATCCCACTGGCTCAGAAGGCTGAGGCAGGAGGATCGTGAGTTCAAAGCCAACCTTAGCAACTTGGTGAGGCTAAGCAACTTAGTGAGACCCTGTCAAAATAAAATATAAAAAGGTYCAGTGAAGAAGGCTGATTCCATTATAGTTGAGAGCAGTTAGATTTCTGTTTCCACTTTGATTTATCAATGCATTATACAGTTTATGAAGGTGATTAAGAGGAGGGTGGAACTAAGATCTTTATAGGACACCTGAAGGGCATCTGATGGGAGAATGGATCCTTTATTTTCCCTAAACCTAAATCAGCAAGGATTCTGAATCATCCTATAGTGGAGGATTCAAAGAGGAACTTGTGAAAGCAGCTTCTAACTTGTGTTAAAACACATGCAGGCCCAAAAGATCATCTGGAAGTGGCAAGGGTTGAAATGAAGGCACATGATTTGAGGCTCTCAGGGTTTTTTATGAGGAAGGCTCTATTCAAGGATGAGGATGGAATTTAAAAGAGAAGGGATCAGCAACTGTAGGTGTGGCTATTCAAGGATGAGGATGGAATTTAAAAGATAGAAGGGATCAGCAACTCTAGGAGTAGGCAGAGTCCACTGAGGAGGAGGGAAGTTTGGCCAATGGCATGAGAATAGAGAATGAACTTTAAAATGGAAGGGCCTCATCTAAAACCAATGACTTATAAAAGAGAGAATGACAAGGTGATATCAGGATGTGGAGAAATTGCAACCCATACATGTCACAGTGGGAATGTAAAGGATGGTACTGTGTAGAAAACAGTTCAGTTCTAAAGTATGTAAGTAGAGTTACATATGATGTAGCAGTTTCACTCCTAGTTATACGTGAAAGAATCTGAAAACACATATTCAAAAAACACATACTTGGGGCTGGGGCTCYRTGGTAGTGCACTTGCTGGCATGTGTGAGGAACTGGGTTCGATTCTTAGCACTGCATATAGAGAAATAAAATGAAGATCTATCAACAACTAGAAAAATATTTTTAAAAAACATACTCAAAAGCTTATAATGAATGTTCAGAACAGCATTCTATTTAAATTTTGTTTTTAGTTGCCAATGGACCTTTATTATTATTTATTTGCGGTGCTGAGGATCGAAACCAAGGTCTCACAAATGCTTGGCAAGCGCTCTTAACACTGAGCTACAACCCTGGCCCCCAGAACAGCATTCTTAACAACCTAAAAGTAATAACAACTTAAGTGTATGTTGATTATCTATATTCAACATATATTTGAACATAAATTATTATTTATGGAATATTGTTTGAATATAAAAGAGAAGGAGGTAGTGACACATGCTATAGCATGAATAAACCTTGAATGTGTTATACTAAGTAAAAGAAGCCAGACACAAAGGCCATATATTGTATAAATCCATGTATATGAAATGTTTCAAATAGACAAGTCCATAGAGACAAAAAGTAGATTATTTTTTGTCGGAGGAGAATAGAAAGTGACTGCTAATGAGTAGAGGTGCTGAAAATGCCCTGGGATTGGATAGTAGAGACGTTCACACAATCTTGTGAATGTACTAAATTTTACTGAATTTGTACACTTTGAAAGGCAGCTGTTATGGTATGTAAACCATGTCTCAAACTGATCGCACCTGAAAGGGTCCCAAAAGACTGGGAGATAAAGGAGTGAGTCCCAGTGCCAGGTAGGTGGCTCAAACAGATTAGGCAGAAGAAGAAGGACCAAGTTCTGATCAAATCCCCTCAGCTAGATGCCTGGTCAGGTAAACTTGGGAGCCATAGCAGAAGTAGGGACTTCTGACTGGCAGTTTGTTTGTTTGTTTGTTTGTTTGTGTAATTTTTTTTTAAAGAGAGAGAGAGAGAATTTTTTTTTTAATATTTATTTTTCAGCTTTCGGCGGACACAACATCTTTGTATGTGGTGCTGAGGATCGAACCCAGGCCGCACGCATGCCAGGCAAGCGCGCGACTGCTTGAGCCACATCCTCAGCCCTGACTGGCAGTTTTTATATCCTGCACAGGGAAATTCTGCCAGAGCCCAAACTTCCCATCTTTATTTAAGTTCCAGTTGCCATTATCTTTTCTACCTACCCATCTCTGGACCTTACACTCAGCGGGCAACAGGATTTCTCTCTTAAGGGGAAATATCCCCMCCCCTCACATATTTTTATTCTGAGATTGAACCCTCTACAAGGGCACAGGAAGATGTATTCATTAACATTATGTTACTACAATGAAACACTTGAGACAATTAACTTTATAAAAAGAACAGGTGTATTTCAGGGTCCTAATGAAATAGTGTGGGCTTGGTGATGATTGCCTCTTGATTTCATTACCCATGGTGCAGATGACATTGGTGGGAGGTACTTAGTGGAGCAGGAAGCATATCTTGAGGCWGAAAGAAGAGAGGCGGCAGGGAAGTGGGACAGAGGGCCTGCAGGTTTCCACAGTCTCTTTTGAAGGCATGTCTACAGTGACCAAAGGACCTCCTATTAGGCTCCACCTTTGAAAGGTCCACAGCACCTCCCAGTGTCAACACCCTGAAGATCAAGCCTCTATATATGGGCCTTTGGGTGACTCACCCAAAGGCCCAGAAAACCAATTTCTTATTGAAATAGTCCAACCTTAAGTTTGTAGATCTTTCCAGCTTTGTCATTTCCTGCAGCACTGTAAGGCTCCCACTTTCCTCATAGTGACCATTCCATGATCCTGCACTTTCATTACTCCAGCCCTCTGGAGTTTACCGCTAAATAATTTAACCTATGAGAGAATTCAACCACATGGCCCATTCTGCAAGCCCACACACCCACAAATAAGTCTCCTGATTCATCTCCTCCCACTCCTTAAGCCTCCACCACCCAGGGAAAGTGAAGCTTAGTCAAGAAAGCAAAAAAGAGTCAGGACCTGGATATTTCTATCTTAATTTAAAAATTAACTTTTATGGCCATGCATTGTGGTGTATTTCTATAATCAAAGAACTCAAGAGGCTGAGGCAGGAAGGTTGCAAGCTCAATGCCAGCCTGAATACAAAAGACTGGGGATGTAGCTCAGTGATAGAGCACCCCCTGGGTTCAATTCCTGGTCA